ATAAAACTTAAACTTTTTCTTTTTTTGATAGAAGATGGCAAACGAGAATGCGGCTTACCTGATGGTAAGTGTCAACCGCCACCTACGAACAGTTGCAATACCAGGGGAATTGCAGGTGCGTTGATGGTCTTTTAAAAAGGAGTAGGCTAGTTTCTTGAAGGTTATAAGTCGTATCAGTCAGGAAAATTTACCGATGGTAAACGATTCCACAAAGTAGTCGTGCGAAGAAGAAACCTCCTAGTAAATTGCACAGAAGTGGACCGCCAAGCGTCCAAATGATGTGGATGGTAACGTGAGTTTTGACGCGATGTGCGTTGGTGGCCTTTTGTTAGTTTAGTGCATTTTGCCATCTTTTTCTGCATCACTACTTATCATCAGGTTGGGTAGAAGTCAACCACTGCCTGATAGTAGAAAAAGACTATTGTGTTGTCAAGTAGTGATAGGCTTTTGTAGCGTTACTGTATTTATATCATGGGCATTATCGCCACTTCAAGTGGATGGACTTTCCCATGGTTTTATTGAAGTAAAGCACTGGCATACAATAAGTTAAAAGAAGCTTAGTAAAACGTAATTTACTAAGCTTAAAAATCAAAGCCGAAAGTTTATAAAATAAAAACAAATAATAATTTTAAGTATAGGTACAGCTTTTATTGCATTTTGTAAATACAAACGGTTTGACCATATATAAAAATATGAAGATCATAAAGTATTTTTCATTCATTAATAAACTTATTCAATAATTGACGACTGGTACATAGAAATAATAAGAAAACCGATTGCGTAAACGACTAGAATTATATCCATAGCTGTAGATAACAGTTCTTGCACTACGTGCTCTGTGACGAGCCGTCTAAACTGCTCGCGAATTCTGTTGCAAATGTGACCCAGGTGCACAAAGAACGGCTCCAAAGAATTTGCCATAGTACTGATAACAAAATAATTATGAATTAATAATAGCGCCATCTGTTGTCTTAATTTAATAGGTTCTTAAATAATTTATCCTGCGTTAGCCACGCACTAACACTGTAAACTAGATACAACTATATGCACTAGATGACGCTTACAACAACATTTTAAAAAATTTAAAATAATTTAATAATTTGCGGGCTTACTTAAATTCGTTGAATATTGCCTACTAATATTAAGTATTAATTATTATCTCTATACCCGTCTCTTTCTATTGTGATTTAGGGTAAAGACTAAAGAGAGAGAACGACTTTAAACATTTCTTAAATTGAACCTGAAGTCTACTTTTTTTAAGCAAGATTAATAAGTATAAAAATTATCTTTACCTTTTAAAGTCAAGTCTAAAATTCATTATAATTATGTTTTGACGATAAACTAATCGTATTTGATTGTTAATTCAATATTTATTCTGCCATGTAATTTTACTAACATTTTTACAGTTTTAGCCAAGATTTTACGAATGATGTAGCCAGTATATAGGTATCGTTGGTCTCTTAATTACATTGATAGATTTATTTTTAAAATTTTACGTCACCATCTAATTACTTAACAAGACAAAGATAGTGAACAGTGATATCTCTGGCAATTCGATAAAACCATGTAGCATTAATACTAGAAGATAGAACGACGAGTACCCAAAATAATTTTAGTTATCAAACATTTCAATAGATGGCAGTAGTAAGAAAATAACATATTGATTTCTGATATTTACATGAACGCTACACATCGAATAAAACTATTTTATACGGATGGATTTTATCGCCTTTAATTAACTTATTTTAAGCTATTGCATAGCTTCTATCGCGGGCTTTGAGCGCGGGGACCGAATCCAGAAATTCCGTAACGAAAAAAAACCTCACGCTCCCCACTTCGACGGGCACGGAGGTGTGGCGTTGAAAGCCGTGCATACACGGTGTATGTGTGCGTGCAACTAACAAACATGCACACGCGTATAGTTTAAATTCTCAATTTAGATTCTCAATATATATATTTTTTTTTTTTTTTTTTTTTATATATAGGATAGGGTGACAAACGAGTACACAGTCCACCTGATGGTAAGTGGTTGCTGTGGCCCATAGACATCTACATCTATCCTCGATTACGAATCAAAATGCAGATGCGTTGTCACCCGTGAGGACTAAGATGGAATGCCTCGTTTCCAGTAAAAAGGGTCTCCGGTTCTCTACACTCACCATACGAAATACAGCAGCATTAAGCTACTATTTCACGCTGGTATTCTGTGTGAGCGTGGTCCTTCCCCGGTCGAGCCGACCCATTCGTGCTACAACTATACTACTAATATAACTGCAGCATGGCTCTACCACGTATATAAATATATATATAAATAAATTGATTCTTCATTATGTATATAACAGAAGCCATCGAACCAAGCACGTGTAGGTACTATTCAGTACCTTTGTTTTTGGTGTATAGATAATGCACATTAATGACGCGCAGAGAAAGTATATATGATATTATATCTATATAAATGTACATCGCGCGAAATTCGATAGTCACTTCTTAATATCGTTATTTTTTTTAAATGAATAATTTTGTTTTGGTGTGTCATTACACTATTTATACCTAATTATTTATACCTATTATTTATACCTATTTGATATTTTCGTTTTATAGAGAAGAAAAGCGTGAAGAGCTAAAAAAGAAAAAAAAACTAATGCACGTCAAAGGGCATATTATCAGCGTCAGAAAGATTTGAAGAAAAATGAAGAAAAAAAATAAAAAAAAGAAACAGTACCAAAATCAAATGCTGAACGTCAAAGGAAATTTCGTCAACATAATGCAGAAAAATCTTACATGGATATGTAATTTGATTTAATAATATATTTTTAAGCTATTGCATAGCTTTTATCGCGGGCTTTGAGCGCGGCGACCGAATCAAGAAATTCCGTAACGAAAATAAACCTAACACCCCAAAACATAACATCGTCTAACGTCGTTTAAGTTCGGCAGACTTCTGCACGGTGTTTCCGTGCGTGCTACTAGATGTATGCGTGTAGACTAGTTGCATCATGCAGCTAGTCTACACGCATACTACTTATATTTTATATACTTATATTTATACTTGCGTGTATTGTACGATAACAAAAAATATTTTAAACAATAATATAGTTTATTGCAAGAATATATTTTTGGATTTATATGAGTCGTCGTCATGCTAGCAACTTTCGTGAATTTAGAGTATTTAATAAACACAGACTTTATACTTAAATATATTTCTTATATTTATATATTATTTTTGATGGCACGTTTGGCGCAGTGGCTGAACCACCCGAATGCAGCGTAGCGGATCATGGGTTCGATTCCTGCATGGAGCAAACATTTTTGCTAACAAAGAAAAAAATACTGCATAAATAAAATAAATAAATAATTATAATTGCATAAGTTGATAAAAATGCTATGCAATAGCTTTACCGCGGCAGTACCCGAGTGCCACACGTATTTTTAATTCCCGACGTTTCGGGTGCTTTACAAAACCCATGGTTTTTACTTAAAACTAGGCAATTCAGGGATGAAAACGCATCTGCATATTTATTATTCATTGAGTATAGATATAGATAGTGTAGATATTTATAGGCACGCTGGCCACTGCATTCATTTACAATTAGGTGGACCGCGTGGTCGTTTGTCACCTTATTTATTTATAAAAAAGAAACTAATGACATAAGCAAAGAATATATACACTACGCGAGGTGAATTGATTCCTTTTACCTTGGACTACATCTCCATACTGAGTAATGGCGTGCTCGTAATATGGGCAATATTATAGCTAATGCATAATAAAATCCGGAAGTGCTCACTGCGGTGGCCGCTGTCAGAGTTGATCGTTGCACCAACGGTGGTCTAGATTTAAAAAAAAAAAACTGTCAGTCGTAGGTAGAGGTGCCAGGTCTTGTAAGTAAAATTTCGGGACGGAAAGTAAAAATAATCGAGAATTTGGTTTCCACACCAGGACAGCTACAATGGCTACAAAATATAGGTTTTTTAAGCCTTTTTGTGCTTTATAATTATTATTCTGTCTGTCTGTTGGTCTGAACTCATGAACTAATAATTTTTCATCCAAACATCGAAATTGCATTTCCTTCGTCTATGTTTTTTTTTCGTTTTAGGCAAATAAAAATATCTTTGAACGATTTGTTTTCTTTGCAGTCTCTGAATTTTTTAAATCACTCATTTTAGTATATTTCTGTTAACAACTTTTATGTGTTTTTTTTCGACTGGTGAGAAAATGTCGTAGTAAAAATATTAAATGTAGTAGCAGCCAACAGATGTAATCATTTTTGCTATCAAGATTATGCCTTAAAGTACAGACTAAGAAGGTTATTGAAAAATCGGACGTCCCGTGCAAATCAGTACACCTGGCAACACGAGTCGTAGGACTGCACGTCAGAGAAGTGAAAGCTTTTTAGATTCACAAACTTTAAACATTATTTATGGCCCTGTTCATAAATATTTTTAGGAAGTATTTTTATTAAAAATTATTTTTATCAACGTAATAATATAGTAATAAAATTTTAATTTATTACGCTGCTGTTTTACATGAAAAAGAATGATTATATTATATTATTTTCTTCTTTTCTTCTATTAAATATTTTCTTCTTCAGAGTTCTTTCATTATTACGCACTTAAATGTTAAATACATTAAAAAATATTAAATAATGAATTTTATTCTTACTTCCCAAACGCATATTATATTGGTTATCGCGTTATACATACCGATAAACTGGTCTGTATAATTTTAATATCTTGAAACTTCATATTTATTAAGTATGTTTTATTATTACTAAATATAATTGGTAATAAATGTTCACGTTTTTGAGTAATTTTTAGCAACAATATAAATAGAACTATCAACTTAACAGTACTAGTTTGAACGTTTAATCTCTCTCTTCTTACGTTAGAAAAGTTACATGCAATGAAAGTACCTACTAGTAGCATTTGCATAGGCGTAAACTTTCTCACACAACCGCACTCGACCGCAAGTTTTCTACACCCAGAGACAAATACTATTCTACCTGCTCCTCTGGACACCAGTGCTTACAGGAGTTGCACTCTCCCCGTGTATCCATCGGTCTACGTCCCCACTGAGCTGGCTTCGATCCATCATTATGTAGGATGATGACGCGGGCACCTAGAACACACATCATGGTGATAAAAGTAAATTTCAAGCTGTTAGCTACTATAAATAGCTTCATACTGCTAACCTGAGATTCCACGGAGTTGTCTTGAGGTACGGGGTCTTTAGAATCCTGTACATCGCTTATCAATGACGTGTTGCGTTTAGCGAGCTCCACATCGTTGTTAATAACTTTATTTATTAATTCTGCCATTTTTAATTTTTATTATTCCAACCTTAAAGTTTTGTAGTATTTAAATGTAGTTAATTAAAATAGTATCACGTAGAATATTCCATTATACATGGTAAATTTGTGGATAAGGAATGACCCGCCTCGGCTTCGCTTGGACTTGGATAGGATTTATTAATATAATGCCATTTAGGGTTAAAGAAAGTCGAAAAAAAACTCGAAGTATTTGAGATAAGATATAACCTAAATCTCTCCTGGCATTGCTTCCTATCTGAGAGGGGTAAACCCTCTCAGAAATGAGGGGAGGCCTGTGCCCAGCAGTGGGACGTATATAGACTGTAACGTTACTTTTACTTTTATTGCTTCCTATCTGTTCGTAAAGTTTCATTTCGAAGCCAGTCTGGAGATGAGCGTAGACCGACAGACGGATAGAGAGAAGTTATCAATATCTTATTAGTATGCAACTAAACCCGTGGGCTTGAACTTGATATAATCCACTTATTCCAATACACTGTATTACAGACGGGCACTTAAGTTTTTTTTAGTATAGTTATTATTATATAAATAATATTTTATATTGATCGTAAGTGGTAGAGGCAAGCTGCAGCTAATATTATGGTTGTAACACGTATGTAACCGGAGTACGACCACGCTTTTACATATTGCCAGCGTGGTACAGCAGCTTAATGCTGCTGTGTTTCGTATGGTGAGTGTAGAGAACCGGAGACACTTTTTACTGGAAACGAGGCATTCCATCTTAGACCTCTGGGGTAACAAAGCATTCTGCATTTAAATTCTTAATCGAGGAAAGTATCGTGAACCGTGTGCTTGTTTGTACACAAGGTTGATAACCGAGGACGCAGTTCACCTGATGGTAAGTGGATCCTTTGGCCTATTGATATCTAAATCTTTCCTCGATCAGGAATCAAAATGCAGATTCATTGGCGCCCCTAATGCCTCGTTACCACTAAAAATGGCCTCCAGTTTCTCTATACACTACAAACGAAACATAACATTGTTTACTATTTAACGCTCGTGTTTTATAGATTCATGGTAGCTCACGGGCTAAGCCAAAACTTTATGACTCGCCGTAAAACGAGTACAACCCTAGTTCAACCCCGCCAGCAAGTTAGCGGTATTTAACCCCGTGCCTCGGAACTTAAAGCCGTTGGTTCTCCGCCTGATCTGTATACGTCGTGTCGAGTTGCCGTCCATCGGACTATGAGAATTAGGGAATAGAAGGTACACCTGTTGCACACATCTTTATGCGCTATAATCCTGTACTGCTCAGATTGCACCCATGTTCAGACTGCCGCTGCGACGAAATATGGCCTGGAGTACTTATAATATTTACCGTTTTCTACGCAGGTTTTTAACCATTTGAATTGTCGACAAAATAGAAACCACTTATTTGTTTGTTTTTTTATTGAAAATAATTCATTTTAGCTGTTTATTGACATACTTTTGGGAATATATTCTAAGTGTAGTGTTTTTTAGTCTCTGACATATTTACTGACTGACTGAAGAATGTAAATTTGACAAAAAAATGTCAAACGTTATTTTTTTATTAATCGCTGTCATAACAAATAGTTCGGCATTCCTTCTTTATGAAAACGCTCTCAACTCACTCACCCCGGTCTCGCATGGGTCACATGGATGTGATTCACCAGTGTGGTAGTATTTTTTTTACGATTTAATAAAAAACGCTAACATTTCTTTGCTATTCTTACCTGAATATGTAGTATAGTATGACGTAATCGTTACAGCCTTTTTGAGTCCACTGCTGAACATAGGCCTCTTCCTTAGATGGCCTCAGAGGGGGGGGATATTTGTCATAGTAAATGTGGTAACAGTATTTTATACAATACAGTACCAGTATATTATGTAATTAAAATATTATAGTATCGTACTTATGTATGTAGTACTAAATAGGATCCGGTTTCGATGATGTTGGTGCCTATGCGGCTCTTACAGCTTCGTAGGACTCACACTAACTAGGAGTGGAAATAAAATTGTCTATGGCATAAATTAAAAAGTACTTCTACGAATATTATATAAAATTTTGACTTGTAACGTATAAATTATCTCTGAAGGCGTAATTAATTTGTTAATTCGGTAGTCCGTAGCAAACATGAATACAAAATCGTTTTTTTTATATCTACCTATTACATTAATTTCCCTCTATGTCATTCTTTGTGTGGTCGATTTAAAAAGGCGCGAACTGCTGGATGCCATTGTCTGAATTCGATTTGAATTTAGAACGTAGACGTCCCGCCGTTTTATTATTCGCAGTTGCCAGTGTAAAAAAAGTTATTGTCATTTATTTCGGTAACTTTTTGAGAAGTTGTGTTTTTAGTAGTCACTTCTATTAGATAAAGTTTTTATTTGTAATTAATTGATATTATTTTTAATAAAAATAAGAAGTAATTGTTTTAACTATGAAAGGCACAAAAAGTTAAATTATGTTTTCTTTTTATAATAAAAAAAAACAAACAAATATATTATCATAAAAAAACAAAGAATTGTAACAGACGAAATGGGTTCTTTTCATGAGAGATGATTATAAAATTCCAGAAAAATTTTATCCCTTCTCATAGAGTTGTCGATTCGTCTTCTCTGCAACGAGAGTGTTGCGATCGGACGAAGAAGATAACAGTAACCAGCCTGTTTTGTTGCCATTGCAATAGCCGCATTTATATGGCCGTAATAGATCATTCGTAAATTAAAAAGCTTATTCCTTACACCTTGGTTTTTTATTGAATAAGGGTGACAATTGACCACACAGTCCACCTGATGGTAAGTGGATGCTGTTGCCCATAGACATCTACATTTATCCTCGATTAAGAATCAAAATGCAGATGCTTTGCCACCCCTAAGGACTTAGATGGAGTGCCTCGTTGCCAGTAAAAAGGGTCTCCGGTTTCACTTATACCATACGAAACACAGCAGCATTAAGCAGCTATTTTACACTGGTATTCTATAAGAGCGTGGTCATATAACGGTCGAGCCGACCAATTCGTGCTACAATCATAATATTTGGTCTATAAAGTTGTTAATGATGCGGGGTCGTGGGCCGACTTTGCAACGGAAGTTTTATGTGGGATGAATACCAAATAGGCATGAATGAAGTAACGCTGAACAATGAAAGTAATGAACGAAATGAATGAAATGAAATGAATAATTTTTATCCAATATAGAATATTGCATGATACATTATTATTTTTTTATTTACCACTGGTTCGAAAAAACTCCGTTGGAAGAACCAGCGCCCAGGTTTAACGCTGGTGACTAAGCGCTGTTTTTACCTAAAATAACTATGGCATCAAAAACATAGCCTGTAAAAAAAACATCCCGCACTTTTTTTACCGTAAAAAGTTGTGAGGTCCATGTAATACCAAGTTGGTTAATTTATTCAGTTCCTACTTAAGGGTCCTCCTGTTTTAAGTTATTACGTAATTAGCTAACTAAAATGTTTTATGTTTAAAATATATAGATTGACTCGGCCATCGCATGAAATCACAATGTATCTCACAAGTAATACATATTATATTAAATAAGATTGCTTAGTGCGATTGTCAAGTCAATCTATATATTTAAAATATAAAAGATTTTTAACTTTGATACGGTCACTATAAAATGTTGTTAGGTTAGCTAATTACGTAATAACTTAAAACAGGAGTACCCTTAAGTAGGAACTGAATAAATTAACCGACTTGGTATTACATGGACCTCACAACTTTTTACGGTAAGTTGCGGGACTTGGTTTTTTTACAAGCTATGTTTTTGATGACATCTCATATCTTTTTGTAGATATGATAGTCCCACTTTTTTACCTTTCTGGTACCTTCTACTTCTTGAATACCAACAACGTACCTATCTACACCTGTTATACATATACAAGTACACTGATTCATTCACTGCAAATGTAACTTTGTAATTCTATATATTTATATGGGATTACAAAGTTATTTATGCAGTTGGTGTATCTAGAAAACTAGACCGAAATTAACAAATATTTTAGATTTTCCTTGGACGCTAGTTCTCCGCTAAACACTAATTGTATTCTAAATTTGAAGCTTCTATGTCTGCTAGAAGTGCCTTAGAGTTATGATGATCGGTCAGTCAGTGAGTGACAAAATTAAGAAACTTTGACTAGTTATAATTCTTAAACTACTGGTTTAAATTGATTGAAATATAAAATGTGTATATAATGCCTACTCGGTTACTGAAAATTCAGGCTTCTAGTTTTATTTACTACGAAGTTATGGGGGGTCGAAAATGGCCTGAATTCCTTCGAGAAAAGTATGGTACCTACGGCCGTGCCGCTTTTTTGTTCGACTTGGCGACGCTGCCGTGTCCCCAGATATTATTTCTACATTTTATGAAGACACGTGTACTCCATATACGGAGGATATCATTTAATATATTAGTTAAATTGTTTCGTCATAGTACCTATTATTCACATTACCTACAAGTAGATCTCCTTCCTATTAAATTTTAGAAAATAAAATTAATGTTGAATTTTAAATTTTAAGTAATTGATTCTATATATAATACCAAAAATACATTCTTAAAACCATAAATCATTTTTGTAATGTCTTATAATTTATATATTGATAACTTTTATAATTAAATAAAATAAGTAATTTATTTTCATAATATACACCAATAAGTAAGGATTAAATCAATTTTCTCAGAAAACAATGAAATTTAAAGGTTAAAAGCTTTTGATTTGAAAGTTCAAGCAATTTTAAACTGAATATAAATTATCACATTTCATATTAGGATATTCAGAACCAAGAAGTCTATGTAAAAAAAAAAAACAGAAATACACATTCTGTTCAAATTTCAATTGTCGACCTATTACGAATCATGAGATTCAGACCACGAAAACTTAGTTATTACTAAGTTCCCGTGGTCTGAATTCACTTTCTGAATTCACTTCCCCATAAAAAGTACCGTTGGGTTACTTGCTGGTAGTTCTCAGGGCAGAAGTTTTTTCCTAACCAGTTTGAAAAGTGAAA